GAAGTTTCTCGCCACTCGCTGATAACAAGTTTCTCCTGCCTCCAGCTCCGCTCCACACTTGAGGATGCCTGCAGCGCGACACGAGCGTGACGTGGTGCTGGGCGTCGACCTCGGCACCACCAACTCGGTCGTGGCCGTCGTCCAGGACGGCGACGCAGAGGTGCTCGTCAACGACGTCGGCAACCGGCTGACGCCCAGCTGCGTCCATGTCCCGGGCTCTGGCCGCCAGGTGGGCGAGGCGGCCCTGCGCATGGCCGTCAGCGACCCCGAGCACACCGTCCGCAGTAAGTGTCGGCCCGGGGCCCGGCCCGCCCGCCTCCCGATTGTCCTCGTCCTGTCCTCATCCGGAGCCTTGTTCGCAGACGTGAAGCGCGTGCTGGGGCTCCCCGCGGACGCCATCACGAATGACCCCTCCAGACCACTAGGAGGAGTCGTAAGAGTTCGGAATGCCAGCGAGGGCGTCGGCGCCGTCCTGAAGCTCGGCGAGCGTTTCCCCCTTGCCACCGAGGAGGTGGCCGCCACGATCCTAGTGGAGCTGAAGAAGGCGGCGGAGGCGCACCTGGGGCGCGCCGTCAACAAGGCGGTGATCGCCGTGCCGACCTACTTCAACGCGGCGCAGCGCCACGCCGTGAGGGACGCAGGTGAGCAGGGAAGTCCCCGCCGAGCGCGGGCTCGACTCACCGCGTAGCCTGGTGACGGTGTTAACAAGCGTCGTCTGTGCAGGGACGCTCGCCGGGCTAGAAGTACTGCGGCTGGTGAACGAGCCCACGGCCGCCGCCATGGCGTACGCGCACGACCGGGAGTTCACCAAGACCATCGTGGTGGTGGACGTGGGGGGCGGCGGCAGCAGCATCTCTGTCGTCCGGGTGGAGCACGACAAGATCAGCGTCCTAGCCAGCTCGGGCCAGCGCCTACCGGGCGGGGAGGACTTCGACAACATGATGGTGGAGCACCTCAAGCAGGCGAGTCATCTGGTAGTTAGCCCTTTTCCCGTTGGGCCTCTACGCGCATCTCCACCAACATCTGTCTTGTCCTCAGGTGATCCTCGATCAGCACGGAAAGTCTGTGCAGGACGCGCGCTCATTGGAGCTGCTGCGTGCGCACTGGGAGAAGGCAAAGCAGAAGCTGTCGCGCATACCAACCACCAAGATTTCCACCTTCCTCCCCGACGTGGACCTGGAGTTCCAGTACGAGGCAAGCCGCGGCGACCTGGAGAAATGCAGGCCGCTGTTCGAGCGCATCGTCGGCGCCCTGCTGGAAGTGCTGGACGCAGCAGAGGTAGGCGCCGTCCTGGTGGACGCTCCACGGGACGTGGCTTCAACTTTATTCCCTGCTCGCTTTTCGCTGGCAGGTGCAGAAAGAGGCTGTGGACGACATCCTGCTAGTGGGCGGCTCCACTCGGGTGCACCGCGTGCGCGAGCTGGTGCAGGAGGCCCTTAGCGACACGCGGCTGTGCAAGGCCGTCCACCAGGACGAGGACGTGGCCAAGGGCGCCGCGCTCCTCGGGGCTGGCTGCTTCCAGGTGAAGGACGTGACCGCCCTGCATATCAACGTCATGCACAACGGCGAGGAGATCACCATCGCCGCCAACACCCAGCTCCCGTACAAGAACTGCAAAACCTCGGCGAAGGACGCCGCAGTCATGGTAAGTTTCTTCTTCCAGTCAGGCGAGCGTGTTCTCAGTTCTCGGAGTACGCCGCAGTTGGCAGACTGGCTCATGCAGGCGGTTCGACTCGCTGCCCCACAGGTGCGCCAAGGACACTGGGTCAACCGGGGCGCCGAAGAGATGCCGCTGACGGCCATCATCGAGGCGCCCAGGAGGGCTCGCATCTCCTTCGCGGGGATCCAGGTGGACGAGAGCGGCCTGTTCGAATTCCTGGACGCCCGCGGCAGGCCGTTGGAGGTGGTGCCCCGGGGCTGCCTGTCGAGGCAGAAGCTCGCGGAGCTACGGGACAGGAACCGTGAGCGCGAGCGTGAGCAGGAGGGCGAGAAGAGCATGATGGAGGCGAAGAACGCGCTCGAGGCCAAGTGCCGCACGCTCATAGCCCTGCAGGTGAGATGAGGGTGACAACTAACTCCTGGCTGGGTGTGGAAATAATGGGAGACTTTGCCTTCTAAATTTTTCGTCGATTCGAAGTCGAAGTGGCCAGAGGTGAGACACTTGGGCGGCGAATCGAGAAAAGCTTTCAAGACACGTCTAACCCCCCCCCCCCCCCGGGGGGTCTGGCTGTATGGCTGTCTGGCTGGCTGCTATGGCTGAAGGGCCAGGACCCACAATCACTCACCATCCCACTGTTCACAGGTGGCCGACGACGACCCGGACGCGGAGTTTATTGGCCAGGTGAAGCGGGCGTGTCAGGAGAGGCTCGACTGGCTGCAGGGCAACTCTGACGCGACCCGCGAGGAAGTCGACTACGAACTGGAGCTGGTAACTAAGGGGGAGGTGTGTCTGAGTGACACCAGGAAGGCCCGAGCGTTGGACGCGCTAGAACGCGAAGGGGAGCGGAGGCGTGCCGAAGAGGAGGAGGCGCTCAGGGTGCGCGCCAGGACCGCCCTGGCCGAGACGTGCCGCGCCGTGGCCGCCAAGCAGGTAGGCGAAGGTGTGGGCCGGCGGGGAAACTATAGTTCACTCGCCGCGGTTGCGCGCACTTACTTACACCACGCCCGTCCTCGGCCAGGTACCCGACGACGACCAGGACGCTGCGGCCTTCGCGCACCTACAGGAGCGGTGTGGGCACGAGCTGATCTGGCTGCAAAACAACCCCGAGGGGGCCCTCGAAGAGTTGGACCGCAAGAGGGCAGAGATCGACCAAGAGTGGTCGGATCTGCTCCAAAAGGGAGAGGATCGCGCTCGTCGTCGGCACGAAGCGCGCCCCAGAACCGCTTCCTCCGTCTCGCAGCCGCGAGACGCCAGGCAAGCGAAGGGCATTGGCGCCGGGACCTCCAGCGTCTCCTCGCGAGACGTCTGTCAAGGTGAGCAGGCGGCAACCCGCAGTCAAGACTTTCCGCGGAACTTTCGACAGCGGAGCCAGCGGAGGGTCGGCGGTCATAGCGAGGGCCCAGGCTGTCATCACGATGATGTGGAACAGGGGAGGGTGTCTAAGAAACAGAAACGTGGCGTTTTAAGTAGATGCTCTATTCAGTAAAAGTGAGGGACCCAGCAGCGAATCCAGCGAGTCTATGTGCGACGTCTAAATCCGACAGTGTTCCTTGCGCACGGAGATACATACGGAGGAGTTAACAGGGGCGGCATTAGTTTTATTGACAAAATGGGCCAAATGGTTAAACATAGTCTGACCTACTGGTGACGCAATAAAAACATGTAATTGAATGCTCAGAATCTGTCTCATTTCTGTGCGTATCAGCCGATGCCGTGGCTTGGTGCGTGACTCGTGCCCCGACCCTCCCTGATCAAGGGATCGTCCAGAAAGTACGTCCGTCATTCATTCGCCGTCATTGCCTAGTTCATTCTTGAGCAAGCTCTCATAGCGCCTGGCAGGTAGGCAATATCTTTCCTGTGGTGCATGCGTGTGCGCAGGTTGGCCTACCCCGAGTCTCGCAGGCGCTGAGCTTCCGTCACTCACCCGCCGAATGAATCTGAGAGAAACGGGCGTTCTTTGTGGACGATCACTGCTCTGCACGCGCCGGTCGCGGTCGCGGCCGGACTCGTGTCCAGAGTCTCCTCTCTAGGACTCTACTTCCTGGTCACTCTGCGTGCGCGCGCAAGTGCGGGGCGGGAGTAGAAACCTATTCAAATAATGAGTGTACACAATGCGAACATTTCGTACCTAGTTCGAAGTGTTGAATTTTATGACCCACTGATATTTTTTTTAAATGCAAAATTTCGTTATTAATTTTCAATGAAGTCCAGTTTGCGTTTTCTCAAACGTTTTGTAGCTTTAGTTGTGTGTACACTGCAGTTTGAACACGTTTCGTTCCTCCTGCCCCACAGGCGATGGCGAGCCGGCTTCCACAAACGTCTCTATGGAGGCGGCGGGGGCCGCAGAGCGAGAGCGGACCGACCACCAGCAGGCACAGATCCTCCTAAAGGAAACCTACAAACATGTCTTCACTGTGGAGGGACTCCGGCGCAAGTCTTTTACTCCGCCTCTGTCGCCCGATTCTGCCAAGGGTCCCACGTCGAGGTGGTTGCAGGAGCACCCGGACGAGACTCTGCGCGCCCTGGGCCAGGACGTCGCCCAGGAAGCGCTCCTCGAGGCTAGGAGGGCGGGGGCGGCCGTGCTACTCGTGGACGCAGTGCAGGGCTGCGTGGCGCTGAGCGTGCGCTACCTGCGGGGCGAGGCCGCCAGGGCGCCGGTGGAGCGCCTGCTGGCGCTGAGGGACGCCTTCACGACGACGGGCGGCGACTTGCTCAGGCACCTGGACGAGCTAAGCGCCGGGGAGGATCCGGCCGCGCTGACACGCGTCCTCCTTGGTGTTAGCTGGGAGGACGACCTCGGCCCCGTCAGCGCCGCCGCCGGCGAGCTGCTCGCCCGCCTCCAGGTCAGGGCCAGCGCGGAGCAGCACGCCGACGGCCGGCGCCCCGCCCCTGTGCGGCTCTGGGTCGGCGGCCACAGCCTGGAGATGCGTTTGGCCAACGAGTGCGCCGGGCAGCACCCAGAGGCTAGGTCGTTCTTCGAGCACGTGCACACCGTCATGGAGCTGTTCTTCGGTCCTGGGGGTGGGTTCGGGCTGCTGAGGCGGCACTGCCCCACGGTGCGGCGCGAGGACGGCGCCTCGGTGCGCGGCCTGGTGCAGATGCTGGCGCTCCCGGGCGCCGGCGGCGCGGAGGGCGTGACCAAGGCGCTCGTCGACCTGCGGGCGCAGAGCCGCCATCGCAGGACGCGCGCCGCCGTGGACGAACTCCTGGGCGTCATGCAGGACCCAATCTTCCTCGCTTGCGCCTGTATCTTCGACCAGTTATTTTCCTCGTTCCGGAGCGTGGGGCGTGTCTTAGTTTTGGAGACCACCGAGTACTCAAACCCGGCCGTCTTAGAACATTTATCTGCCGACCTCAAGGCACAGGCGCGCGAGGACGCCAAGCTACGCTTCGAGTCGAGGCGCGAGTTTTCCAAGCTGGCGACTCGGTTGTCGGAGACGGCGAGGACGGCCGTGGATCAGTGCATCCGCGAGACCGCCCCTGCTACCTGGGTGCAGCACGTCGTGGCCTTTGGGGGGGACGCCGACCACCCTTTGCTGCAGTCCGTCCCCCGCGAGGTGCGGCTCAGCGTCCTGGACGACCTGCGGCGCGCACGCGAGCTGGGGCTGGCCGCGACAGACCCGTGGGCGCTGCTGCAGGCGCTGCCGCCCGCGCGCTTCCGGGCGGACTTCCCCGACCTGGACAAGGCCCTCGTGGCGCTGCTCACCGCGCCACTGCTGCCGTGCCGGGGCCCGGGTGGCGCAGAGGCCCGCTCTGTCGACCTCCTGCGGAAGGGCATGCTGGCGGCCAGCGACTGCCCCGACGTCGTCCTGGAGCCCGTCATACTGCTGCTGTCATCTACGGACTGGTCCGGAGTGTATGACCGCGAAAAGGATTTCTGTCCGTTGCTGAAGGCACTGGTCCCCATAGTTCAGCAGTAGTTATAAGAGTAACGTAGTTTGTAGAGTTAGCACCTTCTAGTCATCATTGTCAGTGGACTGTTTGATTGTAATGACTGAATTTTTTCTGACTGTTTTAATTTAACACCACAAACTGTGGACCAATGCATGTTAATTATTTTATTACTTTTTTGTAGAGCTCTAAGCAGTGTAAGTCGTGTTACAAAATTTGTTTTAAGGAAACCACAATGATTTTGTAGAAAAAACTTTTAACTGGTTGAGTTTTGATTGAACTTGATTAAAGAAATGCTTTGATGGTTAAAAGGTAGAAAAATTTATTGGCCAGATAAAACCAGATAAAATTATACTATGACTAATAGCAATAAAATCTAAACAAGACAAAGAATAGATTACAAAGTACACTTAAAATGTAACAAGGTATCATCACAATTACTATGTTTATCAGAAGAGCTCTCACTCAATTCTACCAGTAGTTATAGGTTCAACAACAAAAGCATCATGTCTGTCTTCAATTTCAATCATGAAACATACATAGGATAGACATTCTACACGAACTGCCTCATACTCATTCATTTCTGCACACCGATGAATGAATGGGATGAATCCACCAGGTTCTGCACGATATGCAGGTTGTGTATGAAGTTTCTGAACTATGGTATAGAAAGTTGGTTCACAATTCAGACAGACATCATCACAAGAACAATCCGTCACTCGTAAATATGTGTGCACTTTGCCAAAGAATGCACCATTGTTTTTCTGATATTTCACACATGAAGATATGTTCTTGGATCCTTGATCATAACTTTCAGATGAAAAAAGAATATTCTTACGTGTGTTCAATATTCTATCAAAAACACAGTAATTTTGCCCACTGAGTTTTAAAGGACCTAGGGCAAGATATACAACTTCAGGTAAAGTGTCACACCGCCGTAATTTCCCCACAACACAAAAATGACCATACATTGAATGCACTTCAAGTTTTTTACCACTTTTGCTTAGTTTTTCACAGAACTTGTAGGCAGGTCTTTCAACACCTGGTTGCACAGGCTTTAGTTTTGACACATGAAGAAAAAGAGAAGCAGCTGATGTCACTTGGGTTTCTTCCTGATTGTTGCCCTGAGAAAATTTTCTCAGATTCTCATTCAAATTTTCATAAGGGGCACAGGAAGTCACCCAGAGAGGACCAAAGTCCCTTACAACATCAGGCAGATGTATCAGTTGATGGACATGACAAGTCAGGAAGGCATTTCCATACAAATCTTCAAATCTGCTGCAATAGTCAGTAAGCATTTCAGAAGCTAAAACAACATCTTGTTCTGTTACTGAATCTTTGCTTAAGAGATACAGTCCATATACAAGGAGCATGTGATGTTCAAAGTGGAACACAGACATGATATCTTGCAAAAGTGGAAGAGAGTAGATCATGAGGTTGACTTTGAGTTCTGAGGGCTCCCATAACTTTCCAAAACCAGCAAACGATCGTGGCAACTTTTCTACATAATATGGTGGCTTAATTGCACAGAGCCGGCGATCATACAACTGTAAAAATCCAAATAAAGATGCAGGATGTTTGAAATGATCCTCACTAAAATGAGCTTTGTTCAAAACTTTTGATATGCCAATATAGGCATCATGCATGTCAATTGCAGTTGTCTCAATAGGGTGATATACAAAGGAAAGGGCACTAGTCCCTTTTACACCATAAACTGATCTTCTGGCTTTGAGGGCCTTGTCAGCATGTACCAGCGTCTCTTGATAAGTCCTCTTTTGAGGATAACGTTGAAATTTGTATACTGCTTGATTATTTTCTTTCACACTTCTTATTTTACATTTTTGACAACCGAAAGTACTTGATGGGTGAGACATGTTTAAGAATAAGGCTTTTGCCGTTAGATCACACACACCACATATAACAATACCTCTAACTAAAACTGGTTCAGGAACTTCTGGAACCCTAAATTGAACTCCTTTGTTGAGAGAATGAAAGTCTTCTCTTATACCTCTCAAAAAAAGATGTGGTACAGGTTTGCGAGAGCCAAACCAAATTCCAGCGAGCAGCACATTCTCTGGCTTGGTTCTTTCTTGAAAAGGCAATTCATTTATAGTAAGATAAAATGGCCAGATTTCATTTTCAGAAAATGTAGAAAGTTTAATTCCATCAGTATACCAACTAAAGGATATATTGTTGGCATCAGAAAGAATGTTACCTCTGGAACTCAAAGCTTTATAAACATTTCCATCATAAATATCATCATAGCTGTTTACTCCAAGTTTGCTTCTTTTAAAGCGATGCATGAGCAAAGTTTTAAAACCTTCTCTTCCATAGAGAGCTTCAAGTTGAGGTAGAATAGGAACTTCAACAAAAAATGCAACTCCTCTATGTTCATTGCATCGTCCACAGATTTGATCTCTGCCTTGCAGAGTCTCAAAACAGGTAGTGCAATAGTAATGTCTGACAACCTGAGATTTACTCTTTGCAAAATGTTTTCTAAACAAACGGACGTTATCCTTGCACAAATTTGAAGAAGGACAATGAACTGATATCAACTGCAACACATCATCCAAACAAGATCTTGAAAGATTATGAGTGAAAGCCAATGTGAGAATAGAGAGCATACTCTCATTCACAGTGATTGGAGCTGCATAGTACAATGGTGGATCGCGCTCATCTGCACCAGTATCAATATCATTATCAGACAGATCGGAATCTTCTTCTTGCTCATTTAGCTCTGCTCTTAACTCTGCCAAATCTTTTGAAGGACGAGAAGGTGAAGGTGGGAAAAATTCATCATCAGGGTCTTCGACAGAGCTGCCCTCACCTATAAGAAATTTGCATGAGGTTAGACTTCAAGGCTGAAACACAATAATACGTACGCAAAGAAGTTTTCAAAAAATATCATGTACACTCACTTGAGCCATCTGAAGCATCACCATCATTTGACACGGTATCACAGTCCAATGGAGAATTGTTGTTAGGAATGTCATCTTCAAGATTATCTAAGTTTAAGTCCTCTTCCTCTAGAGGATGGCTAAGTGGTTCTGGCGAGGAGAGGTCAAGATTTGTACTGTAAAATGAAGAGACAATAATGAGTGCAAATGGTGATAGAGAAAAGTACATATGGAAGAATGACGACTTACTCGCTCCTCTCTTGATGATTTGGTTGATGAAGAGATTCTCCTTCTCCACTCTCGTCAGATATATTTCCATCTCCTGTGCTTGACACTCGCCGACGTCGAGATGGATTTCTTCTGGGCAAAGACCCCTCCACAGAAGGTCGTTTTACCATTTCTGAAATTCAACAGAATTCATATGATCAAAAGGCATGGCAAGGTTGAAAAGTCTCATAGTTCTAGAGGTTTCAGGCACAAGAAAGAAAAAAAAATCACTTAACCAAAATAAAATATACCTAGGTGACAGATATAAAAGAAGTATTGGATGAATTATGCACAACACACGAACCGGTGTCACAGAACATAACCTCGACCTACCTTACAAAGAAGTGATAAGCTCGTTAAAAGTTGTGTGGCAACTGCAGTGAACTATAGAATTGATACCAGAAAAATAATTAAATGCCAAATCAAAAGAAATATCTTGGTTCCTGTCCGGAAATCATTCTTGAACGATTGTTGTTGTCGGCGTAGGTGCAAGTGTTGGTGTTTGGTAGGCGCCAAAAATTAATTTTATCGAGGGACTGGTTTTTATGTTGTATGAAAAATTGCTTGGCCTTTCACTAATTTTATTTTATTATTATTATCAGACACATCAACGCATCACGAATCATTCTTTGCTTATCATTATTTTATTTTATTTTTTAATGTGTTTTTAACGAGATGGTTTGGGCTAGATTTAGGGTTTAGGTAAGTTTGTGTTTTCTTCTCATAGGCAGAGAAGTGGGGTACATTCCGATAAAGCTTTGATGTTGTGTTGTTGTGAAGGGGAAAAAATTTGAATACCTCATCGGCATGTCGTGGAGGTTATTTTGGTGATTCAGTTTTAGTCGTTTAGATTTCTGATTTATTAGTGACAGTTTTGGCAATGGCACCCAAGTATGTGCTGGTGTTCTGGACCAAGTCAAGGAAAATCAGCGTTGTGCATGAGAATTCTTTCGTTAAATCATTCGGCGCAGATGGAGATGAAATACCCATTTGCGAGGGTACCATTCGTATGGTATTAATAGGGGACAAACGCTATGAGGCAAGAGTACTAAGACTTTGCTGTGAGTAGCTGACACCTAGCATCCTCTCTGATCAAACGTTTTTGCGTGAGGTGCACTGTTTTTTTTTAAAAAAAAACAATTGGTTGACAACTTGGTTAATTTTACATTATGTTACATTTTCTCTATATGATTGGCAGCTTCCAAAAAATATCTAGAGTCACTAGTTGTGACCAAAGATGGAGAAATATTACTGCATGGTGCCAAACCACCATGCAAAGACCTACTGGCACAGAAAAGCAAGCTGCAAGATGACGACACTGAAGACCACAGTTCTGCTTCTGATCGGAACATTTTGAAACCTCTTCCTAGGAATAGTGATGAGCAGCCAGTAGGCCAGAATGGAACTACGGACTGTACTCACGGCTGCCCAGGCTGCTGCAGTGGCACTCTACCTCCTTTTCCCACATGTGAGTTCATCACACTACCCAAGAAAATTCTTACCTTTTTGCAAGGCCAATTCAGATATTATCTCACCGGGTAATTCGTTTTTGCTTTATTTTGCAGTACCTGACGGGTTTGTTAGTACTCTTGTCTCCCTTGCAGAGTATTTTCAACAGTTTCAGAACACTACATCTGATAAAGTTGTAGTTCCGTCTGCTCCTGCCATGTCCAAAAACCCTGACAGTTGGCAATGGCCTTCACGTGAAAAAGTAAGCTCATTCTACTTCATTACTCACATTACCTAACCATTCCCATTTGCCTTCATTTTGTCAAATCTACTGTTGTATAGATTGAACTGAAGAAAGGAGCTGGAGTATGGATAGATGCTATCAAACTGGAGAAGATTCTTGGTCAAGCTGACATCACCAAGAAACCACCTCATCAAACACTTGTGAAGAGTTTATTGTTAGACCTTTTAGGGCTTGAGAAGTATGTTGAGACATCTGCAGAAAAAATAGATCGTAGATTAATATCTGCTGTTGTTGGTGAGTTGAAGTAGATAGCATTTTTCAAAAGTGATGAAACATCCTCTACACTGTAGAACTCTAATTATATTTTTATTTCCAGGTTTTACCAATGACAAGTACCCAGAGTTGGCACAGCCTGTTGAACGTTATTACCGATGTATAAACCTTAATCGAGGTTACATGCAGAAGAGAAAAAATGAAGGAGCCTTTGGCTTTGAGGAAACTGGAGAATCAAACAGCAGTAGGACACGGCGATCTGAAGTTAGCCGCTCTTCAAAAAGGTTCTCTGAGGAAATGACTAGTTCACGCCCCAAAAGAGGCAGAAAACCTAAGGAGACCCCATCATTTACTGATTCTAACTCTCTTAGTAACTATGAGGGCTCTGATCAACTTGTCATTCCCCTTGAATGTGAAAGTGATGAGGAAATTCCAATTTTGTCAAGTAATGATGTTAACAACATTTTTGTTGTACCCAGCAGTAACTCAAACACAGAGAGTTCTCAGCCTAGTGGAACTCAGTCTAGGAAATCTTTAGGGTCAAATGTTGAAGTATACGATCTGCATGATGATGGTGAAGAGACATTCACCCGTGAATCACCTGCAGTGAAAGTCGAGCCAGATTTCAGTCATTTGGAAATTGAAGGAGCACTAGATATTGATTTTTAGTTAAGATTCTTGCTGTATGTAAATTAACTAGAGACTGGTTATTTCCTCTTCATATCCTATTGTGATTTATAGACTTAGGAATTTTTAAATCATGTACCCAACAAGCTATTTGTTTACCTAGAATCATGATTATTATTTTTTAAGTTTTACTGTAAGTGACATTGTACAAGATTACACTTATTAAAAGCATATTAAACAATCGAACACAATATTTTAATTCTTTAATGTTTCTACAATCAGGCAAGATGATTCCGTCACTGAAATCAGCCAGATAGAAATTAGTCAACTAACTTTGACAAATATAACATCAAACTTTCACTTAACACACAAATAAGTGAACTTTCAGGAAAATCAGTCAAATAAACATATATTTACACCTAAATGAAAGTTCTGCAGTCAACATAAATGGAACTTCTTCCTGCGGGCGGCGCAAATGCTGCCTCAACATAACATAAAATCGTGTGTCCCATGCTATTCACATGGCAGTCTGCTGACGGTGCCACATCTTGGTCGCCCTGTCCAGGACATGGCCGTCTCGAGCTCCCCTGGGACTCATGGCCACCACGATGGCGTGGGGGAGGCTGTACAGCGGGCAGGTGCGCAGGCGGCGCGAGCCCTCCCGCAGCAGGTCGACCGCGCGCGAGCTCTCGGGCGGGGCCGCGTATGGGAGCGCGGAGATGCTGCTCAGCTTCTCGCCCAGGGCGGGGAAGTGCTCCCTGCAGTGGAGCAGCAACGCGGGCACCGAGGGGAAGGCGGGGTGCTCCACGCCGGAGAAGCCCTGCCCCATGCGTTGCACGTCGGCCACGAACGCCTTGTCGTCCACCCTTGAGAGCAGCTCCGGCGGCGGGTTGCCCAAGCCCAGGAAGGGGTGCAAGATTTGCATGTACGGGTAGTACTCGGCCAGGACGCGCTCAACCAGCTCCAGCACGTCGGCCGTCGAACTGGTGCACAGCCTCACCGTCTGCGATAGATACTCTTCGTCCGCCTCGGTCCACTTTCTGGCACGGCTCTGCAGCAGCGGAGCCCGCATGCGGTTCAGCAAATTGGCCTCGCAGGCCGGGACATTGAACTCCGGGAAGAACTCCGCACGCCGCAGCAGCTCACCGAAGTCCAAGTCGGGGCTGAACGGGTGAGTCAGCCTGAAGAGTTCGTCGAACAGCTGGATCACGCACCAGAAGGAAGAGCGCGGCCAATCGGACAAGACGCTGCCGTGCAGGTGCCTGGCGTGCTGTTGCTGGGCTGGGTCGTGCTTCGCCACCTCGAACAGCGCCTTGAGCACCGCCTCGCGGTGTCTGCGTGTGAAGCCCACGCTGTCCTCGTACGTGGCCCAGGGGTCGTCGCCGTCCTCCAGGTCCCCGCACGCGTCCCTGAGCACCGGGAACCACCGGCCGTCCGCGGCGAACAATTTCCTCAACGCGTCGAGGGTGCAGAAGGTGTCGCTGACGCCGAGGGGAGCCTTTTCAGCGTCAAAATCAGTCTCGGCGGCGGCCGCGTGGAGCTTGGCCACCACCATCTCGTCCAGGCGGCTCCTGCCGGGCAGCTTTAGAATGCGTGTCGGGTCTGCCACAGCGTCCCGCATGCGCGCCAGGAAGGCCTCCCCGTAGGCGCCCGAGGAGTCTGTGCAAACCCCCATCAGCCACTTGTGCCTCCAGTCCACGCCGCAGCGAGAGCACAGCGCCTGGAAGTCCGCGAAGAGCACGTCATCTGCAGCAGGCACCCCGAGGGAGTAGTCCACCTGGCGCACCAGCAGCAGGCGTTCCACAGTGTTGCCGGCGGCATCCGCGAAGCAAACGCCGAGCGACAAGAGGTCGCACCGCTCCGTGACGGCCTTGTCGACGAGCAAGACCGCCCTCTGGGCCGCGTGCGCCTCGCGCAGGGCCTGCATGGCCAGGGCGTCGGCGAGACAGGACAGCATCAACGGGGGAACCGCGAGCGGAGCCTGAGGGACAAACACAAAGAAACATCTGAGGAAAATTCACGGTACACGCTGCTTGAGACGTACTTGAAATTATTGTTTCGCTAATTCAAGAAAAGGCATGAGCAAAAATAAATAAATAAAGAAATGATATATAAAATGTACGGTAATCAAATGAATTGATAATTTTAAATACCATAACATGGATGCCTCAATGTTGACATATTTAAAATTTTTATTAACATTCTGTCAATGTTTGAAAATATGTTGGTTGGCCTCTGGCAGCAACTACATATATTTACCTGGGCGCTATCAGCAATAACCGCCTGTACGTTGTCCCACACCACAGCAAAATTGTCCTGTGGCCTAGTCTGGGTCAGATCACACTTCCCAACCAGAACTCCTACAGGTATACAATTTAAGGTGAATTACAGCATTACAGAATACAACATAACTCCAATAATAATTTTTTGTAAAGTAACAGCAAAAACAAAAAAGGAATGGAATAAAGATAATTTTATCAATTTTGTTACAAGACTTCAGGATGACTACTACTGAGTAATTACACAAAACATAGTACCTGCAAAATTCTTTTCATTCGCCTCCTCATCCACCTCCATAAAATTATGGACTGCATTAGCAACTTCATCGCGTAAGCTTGATAAATGCAACAGATCTTCATTGACTTGTTTGCAATACTCCAGCACATTTTCTGCAGATTCTGCAGGCTTCCCTAGAAGCCAGTTCCACTTCTCTGTCCACTTTTCTTTAACTTTGAGGGCCTCTTGGAGAGCAATGTCATTTTGCTGGAACATTAAATATTTTAGAGTTATTTAACAACTAAAATGAGTAGCTGTATGGACAAGAAAGAGCGTAAAATCAATTTGAATACAGAATGGGAAGAACAAGTTATACCTACATCCACAAACATTGCAGCTCTCAGCTTTTCCTCCAAATTCTGCATTGCAATTGTTCTTTTAAAACGTTCGTCCGTCAAAGCTTGATCTTCTTTATGAATGCTTTCATACATTGACATATACTCTTTCGCTGCTTCTAATGAGTCCTTAAAATTTAGAGTTTTAAGCCTGGCACAGAAATCTTTACATCTCTTCTTGAGTTGGACCTCAATATCCCTAGCAATATCACTTTCAGAGATCTGTACAGAATAACAGTGATAATTAGAATGTAAAAGGCAAAAAAATAAATTAAGCACTGAAATTCTATGGTTTATAATAATTTAAGTACAACAGAACTAGTATACCTTACGGTTAAGTATATTATTAAGAGCAAAAGCCAGTTGAGCTTTAGTGTCCTCCTCCTCCTTTTTGGCCATTTCATGGTTCCATGCAACCCCCAATTGGTGTAGTTCCTCCTTTCGCTTTGTTAATTCCTCAAGAGGCGCACGAGGGTTCTCTTCTAGCCACTCAAGTTCCTGAGCAAACTTCTTTTGAAGTACAACTGTACTAGGATGAAGAGGGTCTTTAACCTGTAATAAATCTTTCTGTTTGACAATGCAAAAAGTATTTTTGAAACTATCAGCATTGTAAGAGGAATGATTAATTTTAAAATCTATTTCCATTGCCTTTTTCCTATTCCTGAGACAATTTGTCAATTTGTCCTAAACTTTAAAAAACAGGAACAAGTATTCTTAAGTAGATTAACTTCAAACCACAGAATAAGAAAACACAAGTGCTTCCTACAGCATTTCTTACCTATTTTACTAAAACTTTTGACAAAATTAACCCTGACTTTCTGATATTTCTAATTCGTCAAAATACTGTAAAATTATGCATATTGTATTACTCACCTCCTTAGACAGCTGTTCACGAATAGCATTCTCCAAGATGTTTTTATGCTTGACTCTGTCAAGCTCTAGGGTTTCTTCCATAGCCTGCTTCTCCATTTTTTTTCTCCACTCTCTTTGCTTTCGAAAAGAGAGGCAACCGCGAGGGCGCATAAAGTGTGGTTGGCCATTTGTGCCCTTAAATTTAATTATACCACTTTCACATATACTTAAGATCACATTGGGTACCTCAGGCTTGCTCCAGATGATCACTATTTTCCCATTTTGTTTAAACTGTTCAAAAGGGGATAACAATTTTTACATGACAAAAGGAAAGCACACGAAAGAGAAAACCATAGTACAATCAGTATGAAGTTGATGAATTGTTGGAAATTATTTCCAGGGTTTAGATGTATGTGAGCCACATATCTCAGCTCTGTTATAAATCCCCTTACCTTGATATCATTAGAGCATTGTATCTTTCTACGAAGTGGAACTGGCTGTTGCAAAGGTATTTGATGGAGGGAACTACCCATTGAGAATGAACAAGTTGCTGTTAAAATTTCTTGAGACAATTTCACACAACCTGCCCCCAAAAGAGCAGCACCCTTTGCAACAGCTTCATCTGGATTAATAGCTTTTCCTATTTTACCACCAAGTACTTTTTGAATAAGTGAGCGCAGAGAGGGAATGCGGGTGGATCCTCCAATTAAAATGACATCATCTATTGCATCCACCTGAAATTTGAATAATGTTGAATGTACAAAGCTATATCTTACCCCTTACCAACCTACCCTTAGCCAGCAAGTACATGACGTACCTTTGAAGCCTTTACAATAGACACAATAGTTCGGGCTATAAGATTGAAGCTGACTTCACACACAGATTCAAAATCTTCACGTTTGATGTCTATCTCACAGTCCATATCAACACCAGGCAAGAAAGTAGATATTGAGGCAAGAGGTATTCTGGACAGCTTCTGCTTTGCCCTTTCAAAGTTAGATCTTAAAATTTCATTAGATCTTTCATCAGTGACATCTTTTTGGAGTTTTGATTTTATAATCTACAAACAGCAAAATTACAGTGAAACTGATACTATTTTATTTGTCTACCTCACCAAATCCCAACCCCACTCACCTGCTTGAGGTGCTCCATCATCGTGTTATCGAAGTCCTCCCCGCCCGGCAGAGGCTGGCCCGAGCTGGCCAGGACGCTGATCTTGTCGTGGTCCACCCGGACGACGGAGATGCTGCTGCCGCCGCCCCCCACGTCCACCACCACGATGGTCTTGGTGAACTCCCGTCCGTGCGCGTACGCCATGGCAGCGGCCGTGGGCTCGTTCACCAGCTGCAGCACTTCTAGCCCGGCTAGGGTCCCTGCACAGACAACGCTTCTTGTTAACACAGACACCAGGCTACGCGGCGAGTCGAGCCCGCGCTCGCAGCGGGGACTTCCCCTGCTTTTACCTGCGTCCCTCACGGCGTGGCGCTGCGCCGCGTTGAAGTAGGTCGGCACGGAGATCACTGCCTTGCTGACGGCGCGCCCCAGGTGCGCCTCCGCCGCCTTCTTTAGCTCCACCAGGATCGAGGCGGCCACCTGCAGGGGAAGACCACATGCCGTCACTAAGTCTTCGGCGGGGCGTCGTCGTCGAGTGAAGGCAGGACACTCACCACTTCGGGCGGGAGGCGATGCTCGTCAACAGCCACGAATGCATTGCCGGTCGCCGAGTCAAGCTCCACTCGAACTGGACCGAGGGGCCGGGAGGAGTCCTCGATGATGTCTTGGTAGAGTCGCCCAAGGACGCACTTGATATCTACAAACGAGAGATCACATCGGGCATAGCAAGGCGCAGTCTGTAAGGGCACGCATGGCTCAGGTCTACTCACTCCTCACGGTCTTGTCCGGGTCGGTCACGGCCAGCCGCAGGGCTCCCTCGCCGACCTGGCGCACGTCGGACACGTGCACGCAACTAGGTGTCAACCTGCTA